TGGTCAAAGGAATTTATCATTCCAATTCCATCAAATTCCTTCGAATTCCACGAACCAAACGGCCCCTTAGTGAGAGGGACCAATTTATTAGATTTAACTTCCGTGGTTTTTGTTCATAAAGACAAAAAAGCACTCAAAGCTAACGGAAAAAGTGGACAACAGTTAGAGAGAGGAACCAATTTATTACAAAATGAAATACCACGCATGAATATTAATAGAGACAAATCTTTATGATTTTTGACAAAAGAAGAAGATAAGGAAATAGTACCTTCAAGTACACTTTGTGAGGTATTTGAGTATCTATGCTCGGTCACGATGAATATATATCTAAATATGCTTCTATATTTATCTATCTTTTTCCCAAATACCTTTTTCTTTTTATACGCACCATGATTTGTCTTCCACCAAAGTTGTTTTGAAAACAGAGCCGGTCTTCAACATGTTAAATGTGAGATTTTGAATAGGGCCTCCGAAATTTTGGGGACCAAACTTATATGTAATCTTATCGACCTGTGTAAAACTATAGCCGGAATTATTTAGGTTCAAATCATTAATTGTTTAGTTTTAGGTTCAAATCATTAATGGTTTAGGTTTAGTTTCAGATTGTTAATCGTTTTAGTTTTAGCACATTTTTGTTCTTAACATATATTCTATTTTATCTCATTTATGCAATGTAATCAAAAGTTTTGGATATAACATGACCTCTAAAAAGATTGAAACGTCCCTGTTTGGAAACGATCATCAACATCTTTATTTAAGTTTACAACATGCATGGAGCTGCTGCTTTTAAAGATATTTTTTTTGTATCATGATGAGCTCTGTTTTTCTTTAAATAGAATTTCCAAACTTCTTCACGTTGATTCCCTCATAAGCATTTCTTTATGCAATTTTTGTAACGGATAATTATCCATCTAACAAACCTATTTACTATTCATATCTAACAATATTGTTGGTTTCAAATTATTAGAGTTAAATATTTTATTGGTTTCAATGTTTCAAAACTCCTCCTTGCATTTTCCCCATTCATTTTATATTAAATTATTAATATTTAATTATATGTATTAGTTTTTATATAATATATTAATTATATGTAAACATAAGTTTTTAGAGCAAAATTACACTTGTATTACTATTTTTCGGTTAATACTTTGAATGTTTAAGTTTTTGGAGTAAATTATATAATATATTAATTATATGTAAATAATGTTTAAGTTGGTATTACTAACTTTCTATTCATACTTTGAATGTTTCAAGTTTTAATATTACATTAATCAATTTTTTTCTAAAATTTAATAGTCTAAAAATGAATCATTTGGATTTATAAATTTTTACAATATTATAGCTAGCATTTCCAACATATTCTCCAAAAAAAATTCCAAAATGAAGAATTAAATGTTTAATAAAATATTATATCTCTATCATAAACCGTTAATATTAATAATTTTTTATCGGTGTGAATATGATAAAAAAATGTGTCTTTCTGTTAGGTCTGAATTTCAGTATTAAATTGTATTCGTCTTGAAAGATAATATTATCTATAATTGTTTAGACATCGTGTTTGACTTTGTATGTGAGTTTGATTTTGACTAGAAGGGTTCAATCTTTGACCCTATACTCTCTCATGTTTTCTTCATTTTTGGAGAGTTTTGGAGAGGCGGTTGGAGCAAAAATATGCCTAAAATCTTTATTTTCTCAATTTTGAAAAATCCATTGAAGATGCTATTAATTCAGCCCCCGGACTACAATAGTCGCGTTCCGCCCCTAAATGGTTGTGTTTAATCAACTATATATGCAAGGAGCTTTTGACATGAGGTCATGCTTGAGCTTATCAATATGCAACTCTTCAAGTAAAACATATTGAGTTGTACGATTACATCAATCGTATATCATGATTGATTCCCTCTTTGTCATTCTTGAAAATCCATTTATTTCCATAATATTCCCAAACAAATACAATAGAAAACAATTATGATGTCATTTACTGAATTAAATAAGGCAACGTTAAATCACAATCGTACATTGTTATCGTATAATGTTGAAAGATTATAGTAAAGTTTTGTAAACTATACACTATCGTGATATACGTAAATGTATTTTCATTGTGTCTATTATATTGCAAGCATTATTATCTATCGTATAAAATCGTATAATATCAAACACATAATCGTAAAACTTTTCATAAGCTCTCAAAAATTATCATGAGTTACGTGTTTGTTACCGTACAGTTATCATACATTATCATAACAATATCTTAAGCGCAATATTGAACAAACATTATGGCCAGACATATATCCATGCACACTAAGGATCACATGTTAAACAAGAAGGAAAAGGACACAATCATATGCACCCTACTAGTACATCAATTATTGTACCATCAATTTACTTGCCCAAAATGACAATTTTTTTATTAACATGGATATTCAACTTTTTATGCGAGCCGACTAATCCCAAGGCGATCATCTGCTTTGCAGATAGCCCGAAGTCACCGCATTTGAACCTCCGTGGCCACAAGAGGATTTTTATTTCTCTTTGGATTTAAACCTGGAACCTCCTGATACTTTTATATTATAGTCTCATCAAGATTTCCCATATAGTACACTAGAGAGAGAGAGAGAGAGAGAGAGAGAGAGAGATAATGACAAGTAAATGAGAAAGAAATTGAAGTAAAAACATTTCTAATGTAATTTTCCAGAAATTGAAAAATATAGATTTTAAAGACCCTTTTTTATAGAATTTGATTTTAACTGAATTTCAGAGTTATTTTTCAATATAGAACATAAATAAAAGAGAATAAGTTTCTCTACAAAGGTACATTGATTGATTTTTGTAGTTGGTTGTTGGCAAGATAGTAGATATCGTGCATTAGATTATCCAGTGGCCTGCAATTATCACACCAAAAGTTTAAGTGTCATATCAACTATACCATTTACTTTATGATTCATCTCTACTACAACGATTTCATTATAAATTAATTGTGTAAAATACTATATTATAATAAAACTTTAGTTAACCATTATTTATTGTGATTTATATATAATTTATATTGTATGTATTTTAAGTGATTTGATTTAGTGTTTTGTAGCATAAATTCTATGATGAAATTGTATAAAATTGTGATTTATATGTTAGGGTTTTGATATTTAGTTTATAAATTTTTTTATTTAGTTTGGTATTTTTGATATTGATTAAGGTTTGAAGAATTCAATTTTATATAGTGATTTGATGCAATGAATTATTATTATCTATACTATATTATAAAGCATTTGATAAAACTCTTAAAACCCACTTTTTATGCGTAAAATATTGTTTATTAATGCATATTACTTAAAACTCAAGATTGTAAGTAGATTGTGCATAAGTACAATTTATTAAAGCTCCATATCTTAATTCGTGTAACTAATTGTAGATAAAAATAATCAAAATAATCATTGAGTTCTAACAGAATACTTAATTATTATCTTTATAAAATGTTATATTATTAAATCAAACATAAATTATTTCGTTATTAAACTTAAATTAAATTATAACAAAAAAATAAATTAAATTATAATTAAAAAAATAAAAACTTTTAAATAGTTGATTTGATATTAACATTGATATATTTTTTTTCAAATTTTTTTAATATCTTAAAATTTATATTTTATTCAAAAATAAAATCATTATTGTTTTCTTAAAAACACATAAAATCGTATTATAACATCGACAGAGACAAATAATAAAACAGAACAATAAAATCAAGATATGTCTCGCTGCATTTAACGAATACTCTTCTGGTGTATCATAACAAAACCCTACTTTTTCTCTTACAACATCGACGGCACCACCCCATCTCCCCTTCCCCCGCCGGCCCTCATCATCTCCGACCCACTTTCTGCAACCCAACTCAAATCTCTTCTCAAGCTCCCATTGAGCCTGCAACTCGGTTTTTGATCTTTGTGAATCTAAATGCTACAGATTTGTCATCTTCCAATTTGATTTTTCTTAAACTAAACCCATGAGTCCATCATCCTAAACTCAATTTCATATCATAATTAATATAACCAAAGACGAAATCTGTAATTTACTTTAAAGATAAATTAAAACCATAAATATTTTGGAAAGAAAAAGAAAATCATATTCTGAAAAGAACATATTTGAATATATGGATGACATTGAGCATAAAAACTCAAATTTGGCATTATAAAAGATTGGGAAGGAGAGCAGATGCAGAGGCACGGGCAGATCCCCATTAGCAACGACAGCAATGGCCATCACCAGCTCTAATGGTAGTAGTAATAAACAGCTTCATGTGGTCATGTTCCCATGGCTTGCTTTCGGCCACATCATCCCTTTCCTTGAACTTTCCAAATTTGTAGCTGAAAAAGGTCACAGAGTCTCTTTTCTTTCCACCACTCGGAACATCCAACGTGTCCAACCTTCCCACCATCTCTCACCACTCATAACATTGGTTTCCCTCACACTTCCACCGGTTCACCACCTCCCTCCCAATGCAGAGGCCACCATGGACGTCCCAACCCAAGATATTCCACACCTCAAAAAGGCCTACGATGGTCTTCAACACCAGCTCACTCGGTTTCTTGAGGAAGAATCTCCAGATTGGATTATCTATGATTTTGCTCCTTATTGGTTGCCGCCGGTTGCCGCTGCCCTTGGCATCTCACGAGCCTTCTTCTCGATAATCAATGCCTGGTTCCTCGTATTTACGGGAGGGTCGCTGGAGGACTTGATAAATGGTTCCGATGATCGCAAAACGGTGGAGGATTTTACGAAGCCACCCAAGTGGGTTCCCTTCCCTTCGAAAGTTTGCTACAGAAAGCATGAGGTCAACTGGATGCTGGATAGCAGCAGTTCTCTTAATGCTTCTGAGGTTTCAGATACATATCGTTGCGGAATGATCTATCAGGGGTCCGATTGTGTGTTTATAAGACATTGCAACGAATTTGAACCCCAATGGTTAACCCTTTTAGAGGAGTTTTACCACCTCCCGGTGATCCCCGTGGGGTTAATGCCACCGGCAACAGCCACCAACGTCGGAGATGAGAAAGATGACGCATGGCTGACCATCAAGAACTGGTTGGATGGTCAAGAAAAAGGTCAAATGGTGTACATAGCATTAGGGAGTGAGGTTATGCTGAACAAAACCGAACTGGGTGAGTTAGCGCTGGGCCTGGAGCTTTCGGGGTTGCCATTTTTTTGGGCTCTGAGAAAGCCAGCAGGTTCCACGGAGTCAGAATCGTTGGAGTTTCTGGACGGGTTCATAGAGCGAACCCGTAACCGTGGAATGGTGTGGAAGAAGTGGGTGCCTCAGTTACAGATACTGAGCCATGTGTCGGTAGGCGGTTTCCTGACACACTGTGGATGGGGATCCATTGTTGAAGGACTGACGTTTGGTCACCCTCTGATAATGCTTCCATTTCTGGTGGACCAAGGTCCGAATGCCAGAGTACTGGCTGAAAAACAAGTGGGAATGGAGGTCCCAAGAGACGATGAAGATGGGTCGTTCACCAAGGAGGCAGTGGCGAAGTCAGTGAGGTTGGTGGTGGTGGAAGATGAAGGGAAGATGTACAAGGCAAAGGCAATGGAGCTGAGTCGCATATTCGGCGATACGAAGCTACAGAAAAAATATGCAGATGAGTTCGTAGAGTATTTGGAGAAGCAGAGGAGTACTTGCATGGATGGTTAATATGGGAGTATCTTGTTTGTTCTTTCCAGTTCCAACTGTGTTTCTGAAGTTGATGATGATTAATGTCTGAAATAAAATAAATATATTAAATGAAATACAAAATTTCTAAATATTTTTTAATATACCAATATTAATAAAACTAGTAGAACATAATTTATCTTCCTAACATTTTTTTAAAAATATGTTTTTTTTGAACAAGAAAAATAAGAATTGTTGCATTTTTTTACAAAAAATATTTATCTTTTAAAGAATATATCATATTTATTTAAAACAACTACTTGACATATAAAGTTATTAAATTAGTTAGGGGTTCTTTGACAGTTGCTGAATAGTTTTGTACAGAAGGGTTAAGTGGTCAAAATGGTTAAGAGGGTCAGAATGGTTAAGTGCTGAATGAAATATGATTGTTTGGTAAATGTTTCTTCTGAATGACAACAAATTATCATTTTAACTCTCTTCTCATTGCCTCTACTCTTTCCAAATATCAGGCACAACTCATCATAATAAGGAAATGGCTTATAAACAGATACACATAAACAGATACCAAAATGGCTTGCTTGATTCAACAGATACCAAAATGGCTTGATTCAACAGATACCAAAATGGCTTGATTCAACAGATATCAGAATGGCTTGATTCAACAGATACCAAAATGATTAGCTCATAACTTGAATCCACCAACGATCAAATCGATTACCTCATTCAAACAGCCCTAAGTTCATCGACATTGTGATTGCAGAGGGAAGGAAAAAGGAGACAGAAGGGAAATACTTGAAATCGAGTGGGAGACGATGTAGAAGACAACGGAGACGATGGAGAAGACGCTGGAGAACACGATCGAGTGGGATGAGGAACGAGGATCTCGCGTGGGAGGAGAGAGCGGCGGGAAGCAGTAGGGGCGGCGACGATCGTGGGGGGGAGACGGCGAATGGAAGACCGACGATGGGAGGGGGGAAGACGGCGAATGGAACCGACGATGGAGGGGGGGAAGACGGCGAATGGAACCATGGAGGGGGGATGCGATGTGAAGAACAGCTTGAGAGGGCAGAGTTGGAAAAATGAACATCTGAATGGTTTAGTGAAGCTCTAGGTGCAAAATGGTTAAGAGGTTAATGTAACCATTAAGAGTTTGTTTTTTTTTTTTGCCAAACAGCCTTGACCTCTTACCGATTAAGATGTTGGCTCTTAATACAAACAAACAGCCCCTTAGATATTTTTTGAATTATTTGTTAATATAACAATATTAAGAAAACTTCTAGTGCACAATTTATCTCGCTAACATTTAAAAAACGTTAAAAGAATATGTATTTTCATCATATGTAGGGGTACAACTGACTTTTCATCTTTATTAAACTTTTTTATGGTTGCAAATTCGGTTTCGATTAAACTATATCGTGTTATAATACCAAATGTGCTTTTCATCTAGCGTAATATGAGTCTTTGGCTTTTTAAGACGTCAGAGGTTTAAAACTCATCAAATGTGAGGAGGGTGTGTGAGTTTATTTGTTACACTTATTGTATATAAAAAATGTTGTATTATAACAAACGATTAGAGAATTGAGATTCTTCTCATTGGCATTGGAGAAAACCGAAGATTCACAATTCAAGATTTAATTCCAGTACATTCAAACTAACCCGATTAGAGGTACGTTTGTTGAACCCGACTTGATCATCACCTAATGCGATTACGAACCCTTATCGTTGGCTGGAAAAAGTGATTATATTATAATTATTTTTGTAACAAGAATACCAATTAACAATTATGTTCTTCGAGTTTGAGTGGTATATGAGAATCATAATACGTGTTTCAGTTTTTGTTTGTCTGGTATATTTGGTTCAATCAATAGCAAGGGGCGATTTGAAGGTGCTCGACCACGGGTGAATACTGAATCCGCAAAGGGGAAACCATCCAAGCCGGAGTCGTTATATATCTTGTGAAATGTACGAATTGGAGTTGCAAGTCGAGCCTGGTGGTGACTGATCACTCTCAGAAGATCCAACAAGATTGCTTCCTAGTTTCATATCACAAATTAAGAACATATCAAAATAAGAGGAAAAACTATTAATGATTGAAGATCACATTTCCGGAATACAACACATTACACACATGCATGCATTGATGTCATCATACTCTCATTTGATGACTACTCTTATCCTTTGGTCACTAATGTTAGTGCCAGATAAATCCAAAGGAATAAAAATCTCCTTCGACCACGAAGGTTTAAATGCGGTGACTCCAAGCTATCTGTAAAACAGGTGGTCGTCTTAAATTTAGTCGGCTCGCATAGCATCTAACAGGTTGGACATCCAGGTTAATAAAAAAAATGTTAGATCAACTTGTGATTGTACAAAGAAATGAGCACCAAATGACCACCACGTGATAGAAACCCTTTCCTGTTACAAGTCAAATTAAACCAAATAACCAAAAAATAAGCATTCAATTGATCTTCCATATTTATCGAATGAAATATTACTATATTTGTTAGCCATTAACAAACACCTTGATCACCTTTTATTTATTATATATATATAGAGAGAGAGAGAGAAGCGTTCAAATGAAAACCGTTTTTATTTGTGTAAACCGTGTAAACCAATCTCATCCATCCATTTTCTTGATCAATTGTCAAGATTAGTTTACTTTATTATAAGAAATTAAAAAAAAATATATATATATATATATATATATTAAAAATATATTTTATTTCAACTAAGGGTAAAATGATAAACAAAAATAAATATTCATAGTATTTTTTATTCAAGGCAACAATATCCTTCATATCATATTATTAATGAAACTATTTTATTTTGTAAAACAATATATTATTTTTATGTTTAAATAACATCCATCAATAAAATATATCAAAAAAAAAAAACACACACCATATTCTGAATCGTTTCAAAATTTGAATTACATTATATGAATGAAATTGGTTTCAAAATTTCATCAACAAACTAATCAACGTAATACTGATCATATTTCGTAATTTTCATTATACTGGTAGATGAATCCGTTACATTTAGATAACGAAAAATTTTCATTGTTTAATGAGTTTATAAAACTTTATAATAATGAGTTTATAAAATTTTATAATACAACATGAAATAGTTTCATTGTCTTAACTGTTTACTACGTTCATAGGACTTTATGATAAAACATGAAATTTTTCTCATGGTTTGATGCGTCATTTGTTATTTCATGATATTGATAATGAACTTTATTCACTTTTCGCTAATGTTACAGCCTTTTTATTCCTTATCCTGAAATTGTTTCAATGTCTTTCACACAACCATGTAAATATGCACCTTATTCATTATGAAATGATTTCAAGACGCACCGATTTCATAATGAATTCGTTTCAGCATGTAATTATTTCATGACGAACCGTATACATTATTCACCCGTTTTATTTTGCATTTCAACGCCATTGAAAAGGGATTCACCATCAAACCAGTTCACTACTCATTGTTCAATTACGCCATGAACCAGTTCCACTTTCATGAAACCTGTTTCATGTAAATTAATTTATTTATTTCGCTCCTGATTTGATGAATTTATTTCTTTAAGCCTTGCAATCTTAAAGATTCTGGAGCATATTACAATCTTAAAGATTCTGGAGCATATTACAATCTTCAAGATTTTGGAGCAGTTTCTTCATGTACACGTTTCATCATGCAATTATTTCATGACGAACCAAATAGATTATGCACATGTTTCATTACTCATGTTCAATAACGTCATGAACCAGTTTCACCTTCATGAAACCTATTTCATGTACATTAATTTTCTTATTTCACTCCTGATTTGATGAATTCATTCCTTTAAGCCTTGCAATCTTCAAGATTCTAGAGCAGATTACAATCTTCAAAATTCTGTAGCAGATTCATCATGTATCTGTTTCATCATGCAATTATTTCATGACGAACCAAATACATTATGCACTCGTTTCATTTTCCACTTCAACTACTAAATAGATCAACTACACCATCAATGCAACGGGTTCACCATGAAAATGTTTCACCACTCATTTTTTATTTGCGACATGAACCAGTTTCACGTTCATGAAACTTGTTTCATTTGTATTGATTTTTTTTGTTCATCTATGATTTGATGAATTCATTACATTATGGCTTACAATTTTCAAGATTCACCAACAGATTCAATTGCATCATAATATATTTAATTCAAATTTTTAATATTAAAATATAATTAAATATTTAAATGTTACCATTTATAAAATTTCCTTAATTACGTTTTCTTAATTAAGATTTATTAATAATTTCCATATTTAATAGAAAATATTGTAAATGACCGAAATACCCTTATTGATTAAATTTAATTAGAAAAAAATGGAATTTTTCTATTGATCGAAATTAGTTTACACGGTTTCTTAGAAATGCACGGTTTTCATTTGAATGTACCCCTATATATTTATATATCAGTACCGAAGTAAATGTGGTGAGAGAGAATGAGGATGAAGAGAAAAGAGTTTAGAATGAGAAAGAAACAAAAGGAGGTAAAAATGGGGCATTTTTATTCGGCTGTTTTGTCTCCCCTTCACTGGTGTGTGAAAGCTTCTCTCATTGGCGCGAAGAAAGCTGTATGTAGTTGCAGACCCACTTTCTGCTCGCCTTCACTGGCGTGAGGCTTCCTTCATGCCCATGAAGAAAGTTGTCCAGATTATGAGTTTTTCTTAAATATTCATCACCAATATAAATCAATTCAAGACATCAACTAAGGTTTATTCTAAGATCAAATATGCATTTAAAACCTGAAAATATACATACAAATGTTATGGATACATTATTATTTATGAAACAAAATAAATATATAACTTTAACTTTACTTAATTTACAAATATATTTTTAAAATTTATTAGGTTT